TCGCTATACATTTAACACTAGTTTTAACCTTAACCCCCCCTATAATATGGTACTGCCCAGGAAATCCCTAAGAATTCCTATGAAATCTCGAAGCTGACGAGATAGGGTTATCTGAAATTAAAGTACTGAACAAGTTTCCATGGTATGCCCACATATATCTTAACACTAATATACCATACAGTCAGCAAGGTGTCTATTACTCTGTTTCACCAACCTTACACAACTGCCTAAATGTTATAATATACAACTAGTCTGCTAACCATTTTTATAATAGTCATGAATAATCCTTAATGAAACCACACATTGAGGATATAAGGATGCCCAACAAAAACCTAATGATTAACATTTCTGAGAGAGGCAAAAGTTGCTGGATCGGATTCCATCTGGGATTTTCAAAAAAATTTACAAAGGATAGAATAGACTGGAAGACTGGACTGCAAAAGCAATATATCATGGCACAATATGATGATGGTGAAACTACAACCACTTTAACAAAAGCAACACTCCCCCCCCCCCCCCCCCCCCCCCCCTTATAAATATGGTACTGTTCATGGAAATCCCTCTCACACTCTTATCAACAATATGTTGACATGTCTCTTTCTCCTTGCCACTTCTGTTTTAAAAAAAAATTTTTTTACCATGCCAAAGAATTTTCCGTAAACAGCTTTTCAGTTGATTATTTGTATGAGTTATGTATTCTAATGACAATGCTGCATTTGCATAGTTAACTTTCAGACAGTATATCGGTGATTGAAAGGGCATTTAAAAATTCATAATATAGGTCAGTCAGATACTGGACACAGTATTAAACATTTTCATATTCATTAACTCAATGTACGTTCAGTATTTTAAGTAACCGCATTGCTCCAGCTAAACCCATTCTGTCCTAAGCACAAAAGGAGGTAATTATCACAGTTCATGCTAAATTAGTGTCTTCTTTAAAAGTGCCACATTTTTTTTTTAAAAATCTTGTCAAAACAGCACCAAACTATAAATAGTTTCTGGCTAAATGATTAATGATCAGCATGTGCAGACAAAGGGTTACAAATGACAGTTAAATTATAGCATCTATTCAGAGATAAAGTTCTAATGGGAATCTTTTAAACAATTACTGTGATGTCTCTGGTAAATCAAGCCGGCTTATCCCATATGTCATTAACACTTTCTGTCTCAAAACAAACCACTAAGCTTGACTGGATATTCAGATATACCAATCAACATGTTATGTATGGTTTTACATTTTATGTTTCATGAGGGACTCTGAAGAACATATATGTTTCCTGCAAGGTTGCATATTTGGCCCCTCTTGAAGTAGTATACCCATGAGTTTAGTATTGGCATTCATAATAACTCCTCTAACTTTAGCTAGAACCCTATAAATAGTTAATGACCTAGCATCAAAAGCAGCATAATCAAAGGCTGTGATAAAAACTACAATCATTCTGAATCCATGAGTCATCCCTTTATACCAGTGGTTCTCAACCTTCCTAATGCTGCAACCCTTTAATAACATACAAAACATAACCCTTGACCCATTAGGGTCAAGGAGGTGTATTGATGGAAGCACTAGCACATAAAACCCGCCAACTTTCCGACTTCCGCTAGATGAATAAGTGCAAGATAACTTAGTCCTGTCCATTTCTTGATGTTGTCATTCCAGGTTCTTCTTTGCCCTCCTCTTCTTCAACTTGCCCCAACAAGTTCCTTGAAGTACATTACACAGTCTTTGTAATCATATTTCACTACGTGCGCAAACCAAGCTAGCTTGAAACGTTCCACCACTGCTAAGAGAGGCTCCCGATTACCCGCAAATTTGCATATTTTGTCTCTGACATATTCATTAGTTTTGCATTCTAAGTAACTCATTCATAAAATGCGTCTGCAGCATTTAATTTGGAAAGTAAATTCCTCATTTTGTGAAGACCCTCAAAGAAAATATTATTGTCATTGCCACTTCAGTGAATATGTGTCTTAGGCGACCCCTGTGAAAGGGTCGTTCGACCCCAAAAAAGTTTGCAAACCCACAGGTTAAGAACCGCTGCTTTATACCAATATTCCATCAGAGTGTCAGTTCTCTTTGTTAACCTCCCTACCGTTCAGCCCAAAGTCATCTCTTTGTATTAAATCTCAATCAATATGTTACTACTGTCATGCCATTCAATTAATATCTCTGACTGTTTACTAACAAGAACATTTCCAGCTACTTTAGGCTAGGTAGCACTGATATCCCAGGTCTTTTTTATTTCTTTTCATGCAAGAAGGGATGACATATGAGAGGAAGAGAACAATAAGTTTATAATCAGTGTGCTAAGGGTACAGTCGGCATCTTCACCATAAGACATTTGCTGCAGGAGACAGAGCACCTATGGGTATGCCCAGCGTAGAATGTCGATTCTTAATCAGTAAACCAGTACTATTTTTAAATGTTTATGTACTTCGTACAGCTCTTCCTGGTAGGGAATATAGACTTGTAATGCAAGAGTCAACTAGAAAAGATACTCGACAGCCTTTTGTGATGCCATAGAAGGGTGCTAGTACACAAACCGATACAGGCAGCTCAACACTGTAAGATGTGGAGAAGCATGATCACCCACACAAGCTGGCTATGTCCTTGATGATTTTATGATCTTATAAGAACAACTCTTCCTAAACACAACCCCTCCTTCCTTTACAAATCTCTAGTGCCAATTAAGGACCTCAAAGACCTCAACTATATCTAGCAATAATAATAAATGCAATCCAGCAAACATTGAGAAATGAAACTGCTCCCTTTCCTACTTCTGTGGGTTCCAGGATCTTTAGGGCACACAAATAAGAAGAGCCTGCTTCCCTCTACAGGACATATTTCCTCTATGGCACACAAATAAGAAGAGCCTGCTTCCCTCTACAGGACATATTTCCTCTATAGGAAATCTAGAGCACAAACAAAAACTTGAAAAACAAATTCAGTGGTGAACAGCTACTGTGGTCCAAAGCTTTCTTGACATCATGACAATTAAAAATGATCATAATTATCATAATTATCAGCCCTGCCCTACTATAACTAAGTGAATTAGTCTCAAGTATGCAATAAATGAGAGATAACAGGTCTTATAAAAAAACATCAAATATATAGGGCACATAAAATAATACACAGCATGCACAGCCAGAGCAGAATACTTACAAGGAGCCCAGTTGACACAGTCAAGTGCCGACTGATCTATAAAAATACAGGCCTAACATTATATGCCCAATGCACCAAGGGACCTTTACTTTACTTCCAGTTGCCATGGAAGGTAAATATTTTTATCCTAAGCCCCATAAACGATGTACGAGGTGCATTTTTTAAGTAAGTCCTATTCTGACTGCAGCGACAAACACAGATGGAAAACGTAAATGTGCATATGCAGTATGTTCATGTGGTTTACTAGCTAGCTGTGTGCTATGTTTTAACTGTCAAAATCTTGTTTGATGCTGTGTGTGAGTGATTTATAATGAGTGCAAAAATAAATACTTCCGCCAGCTGCGAGGTTCGTGCTGCGATCAGTTCTTTGTTAGCACAAAACAACAGAGGTTTATGGGCCAGATGATATGACTGATAGTAAGGTTAGGACATGGTGACGAATGTTTAAAGAAAGGCGTACAAATATCCATGATGAAGATCGTAGCAGTCGGCTGAGTGTGGTGAAGAAGTCTGGTCGAAGAAGTGAACCAAAAAATTCCTGAAAATCGCTGTTTCACACTTTCTGCGTAGTCTGTCAAATTTTCAGAAGTTTCACATTCACAGATTTATGACACTGAGACAAGAAATTTTTGTGCCAGATGGGTATCGAAAATGTTTACCGATTAATACAGGCAGAAATGCCTGGCTTCAGCTCAAAAACATTTGCAGCGCTATGAAAATGAGGGAGATTAATTTTTGGGGCACACTGTTACTGGCGATGAGACCTGGATTTCCTGCACAAACAACAAATTTAAGCAACAGTCGATGCAGTGCTGACACTCATGGTCCCAGAAAAGACAGAAGTTTAAGCAAGCACCTTCTGTCAAAAAGATTCATGGCCATTGTTTTCTGGGACAAAAAAGAGGTCTTGTTAATTGATTTTCTTGATCATGGAAAAAGAGTTAATGCTAAAGCTTATTGTGACACTGATAAAACGTAGACGTGCCATACAAAACAAAAGATGTGGGTTGCTGTCCTCTGGAATTGTGCTTTTGCACGATAATGCTCAACCTCACGTCACAGATGGAACTGTTCAACTGTTGCAAAAATGTCACTCAGAAATTGTTGACCACCCTCCCTATAGCCCCGATCTGGCACCAAGTGATTACCACCTTTTCATGCACCCAAAGAAGTGGCTGGAATCCCAGCGGTTTAAATCTGATGAACTGCAGACATGCGTTAACAAATGATTCAAGACACTGGTGGCAGACTTGTATGACACTGGAATTAGGAACCCAGTGCCAGAATACCAAAAATGTGCTGAAGTCAATGGTGACTATGTTCAGAAAAAATGAAAATGTGTGGTTCACTTTTTGCAGCAATAAATCATTTTTAAATACGATAGTTTTTGTTTTTTGTTTAATACCGGGACATACTTAAAAATGTGCCTCATAGTTTCTATCTCATGGTCTGATACAAGTCTTCCTGGGCTACATGCAGCAATAAATCATTTTTATATATGATAGTTTTTGTTTTATACCAGGACATACTTAAAAACGTGCCTCGTAGTTTCTATCTCATGGTCTGATACAAGTCTTCCTGGACTACATGCAAAAATAAAAAATAAATATGCTGGCACATGGATAATAAGTTTACTCCTGAATTATCTTCAGTTTTACCTATCATTATAAGTGTGTGTGTGCGTTGCCTAATATTAATCAAGAACACTAAACATTTGGCTAAGCAAATCTATATAGGAAGGCTGGAGAAGAAAACAATACAGAAACTTAAAAATGCAATTACAAGTCAACGGTAAAACAAACCAGACACAGAAAAGATCATATCTTACCCCACAGACACTGCAACTTTCCGAGAACTTTTAGAACCTCGTTTCTTGACGCCCCCTCCTATTAGGTGAGTCACAGGCGACCTTCGGCCCCCTTCAGAGCCACCACTGCTGCTAGGTCTGCGTGGGTGTGATTCATCAACCTTTCCGATACGAGGTTGAGGAAAAGCATAATATGTCACCAGATTTGTGGCCTGCTCCTTTGACACTATTAAAGTGCTTTTAGAATTATAGGCTCTGCCATACTGCACAAGAAAATACCGCTGCATTTCTGTACAGTTGAGCACTGGTATCTTAAGCAACTGGCATCGCTTTTTTAGAATACCAGTGTCTTTGGCCGGCAGTATCTGCTTGTGAATATCCACCAAACGAATATAAGGCTGGTTGTTGATCATGATGGCAGGTACATCATTGAAATACAATGTCACAGTGACAATCCAAGGGGTGTCATCAGCAGATGTGCTTGAAACCGGAGTGAGTGCTTGAGATGAATCAGCATCATTGTCCATTTTGGTGTTAAAAACACTATCATCCAATTTCATATCCTCATCTCGAACGCCGAGGTAATCCAATGTTTTTTCTATAGAAGTGAGCCGGGGGACTGATGAAGACAACTGGGGTGTGCCGAGTGAACTGAGATCAGATCCAAACATGCTCTTCAACGAACTGTGTGAATCCCCATCTTGGGTTGTGTTAGATGATGATGTTCCCTGAGAATTTGACATGAAGGATGAGAGATCATCAGCTAGGCTGACATTTTCATCCAAAGAATCTTTGTGTACAGTGTGAACAAAATGGTCGCGCCCATGAATATGTGCAGTGCTGAGTAAAGTGGGATTATCAAATGAACCAGTGCTTTGTACAGACTTTGCAATATCAAGTAAATCATGCCCTGAGTTGAGATGTTGGTTACCAGAGGTATCCAATGAGGAAAGATCCTGATGAATCGCACCATCCCCCATATGATCATTCTTCACACACATGCTGTCCGAGTGTAACGATGGAAACAATGCTGTGCTGCTAGTATCAAATCCAGACCCACTGCCCAGCAAAGCTTCATCCTTCACAACACTCAGGAGGTAGTTCAGGACATGCTCTGATGTAATACTGGGGTCACCGCTCATTAGTCTCAGACTTTCAGTGAGATCTGGCTGGTTTGGGTTTAGGTTTGAGATGTCTGGTGGATGTGAGGTTACTGGAGAAGCCAGACTGTCACTCTCCATGCTTAGTATGGTGCTCACTATGTGACTGTCTACATCGGAAATGAACTCACTTGCATGGCTCAAAGACGCTACAAGTGACTGGATGGGAAGGTGATTTGTCATATGAGGTCTCTCCGGCAGATTCAGTGCACCACGGCCTTTCAAGCGCACCGTTTCTATGTCAGCGTCTGTTAAGTGCGGGACGACTATATCTCCTGGTTTTGGTGCTGGAACAATAATCTTATCAGACGCAAAAGAAGGTGTTGGTGGGTGTCTTCTTCTGGCGGTGGTCCTGGAAGACTTTGATAAATAATACACATACTGATCCTGGAATTTGCCTGTAATTTTCAGCTTTGTTCCCACCTCAGGGTCAATTTCCTCATCGATTATTTTATCAAATGGCCTTTTCCTTGGTCGTCCAACAGGATTTGTCTTTGTCAAGTTATGGTCAATACACATTGGTTCAAGTTCTGATACTGACTTCATTATATTGTCCTGTCTAAGCAATTCTTTTTTCAGATATTTAGCTTTCATTATTTTTTCATGATTAACTCCATCCTCTTTGTTCTTCTTTTTTGTGTACTTCCTTTTCCCACCGTTTAACTTCCTGAAGTCATCAACAAAGCTGATGGATTCAGCATCTTTCACACAGTAATCATGATCATGAAACACTGGGTGAGACCACTCCTTCACTCTTTTTGTGAAATCTGGCGACATCCTCAGTGGTGTTTTCGCATCAGAACTATCATCCTGTGTCTCGGAGCCTGCTTCCGACCGATCCCAGTCAGCACTGGGAGACTGTAGCAGTGGGTAAATGTTTGGATAAGCTGATGGGGAGTTCAAAGGTGAGCTGATAAGCCTGATATCTGCTGGAATTCCTACATTTAGTTTCTTACTGTTAGCCTGCTGTCTGCTCTTGAGAAATTTTTCCAATTCCAGATTACCAGAACTGAACGATGCAAAAGTGCCAATTTTGAACTTGCCGCATTTAACACCTAGCCTCACAGGGGAGTGAGCTGTTGACACATCAGAAGATACAGAAGCTGGTGAGTTCATTCCTGAGAACACGTCACCAGTTTCATCACCACTCTGCGCTGAATGTGGAGTTCTGGAGACCAGGTCGGCAGTTGGAGAAGATGCCGAAGAAGATGAAGATGGTCGTTTAAAGTGCATGTTAGCAGATTTTGACATTCTGTATAAATCCAACGTGCTGGCTGACACCCCTTCCAAGATGCCAAACTTCAGGTAATTACAATCCAAGGAAGGATTATGGTACCGCTGTTCAGAATCCTCTGAAAAAGGGCTGTTCTCAGAACAAACATCGATGTCATCATCATCATCCAGCATTGCCGAAGGTTGCAACTTGCCAGGCGGAAGAGCGTAGGGATGGTCAAGAATGACACATTCATTTGCATGCAAACCTGGAGCTGCTGTTGTCTGACCGCACAGTTTCACATCACCCAAATCTGCTGCATCTTCACTCAGATTAGACTCATCCTGCCATGAACAATCCTCCAATTTAGTAGACTCTTCCTTGGCATTTTCGCTAGAAATTTGGGCTGCAGTTTGGGAGGTAGATTCCTCGTCAGAGGGTTTAACATCTGCAGTGTTACTTGACACTGTATTCAGTTTCAGTGTAACATCAGAGCTATTATTAGCATCATGCTGCGCTTCTAACAGTGCATCTGTAGGGATCTTTCTGTCAATAATGTTTTGCAGTTTCACATCCACCCCCTTCTTAACATCTTGCAAGAGGTCATCAAGCGAAAACTTGTCCTGCTTATTGACAATTCCTTCTATATGATCTGGCATTAGTGTCTCTGGACTCCACGGCATTTTCTGAGGGGCCATTTGTTCAGTGTCTTTTGCACTATGGCTGTGCTTTAGATTATTGCTTGTAGTTCTTCCCATTTCTTTGTCTGAATCTTCATCAGCATCTTTACTGTCGCCGGATTCAGAGTTCTCTTCCTGACCAGCGTTGCTGGCCTGTTTAGAAGTGTTCACCTCAGATGGAGCATCCTTCTCTCCAAGAGCTGCTGCGGCTAAGATGTCCAGTGGGTTGAAATCCATAAGGTTGTGAAGCATATATTAGGCAAACCATCAGTATGTTGTAATGACGTAACCTTTCAAATATTACCTGTAAAGTAACACAAAATTTATGTGCTTAGCTAAAAGACCTAAAACAAACTGTTAAAGCATAGGCAAAAATAAAATATAATACAGGTGTGAATTGTTCATTTCATTTCTTAATGTTTACCTATATAACATATTTTAGAAATTAAATTGACAAATAGGTTTAAAAGGTTCTATAAACAGTGACCTAACTACATAGTAAGATTAATTGTCACTACTGCCCTACCACTTTTTACTGAGTGGGATGAAGGGTCATGAGTTTCAGGATTTGAGGCTGCATGGCTAGTGAACATAATCCAAAATGTCAGTTACCGTGCTGATGATTCATACCCGGGTCTTCTGCGCGTGAAGCCAGTATTCTAACTATCTGACCGTAACATTAAGTATACGACACAACAAATATTGTTACTGTGCACTCAAAACATTGTTCATATGAAACAAAAGTAAGAAACCCTTCAGGCATATTGGGCATATAGGGCCAGCCCAATCAGCACTTAGTAGGTGATGGTTTATACAAGGTGGATCATGTAATGTTCGACTCATACCTAAAATGTTGTTTAAATAGTCAATGTCATGTTTGGCCTATTTCTACAAGATAAAAATAAAAGCCAGTACTGATACTGTCACCAGGAGAGTTGCAGTATTATAGCAGCCAGATGCTCGCCCACCAGCCTGAAGGTCTATGGTTCAAATCCGCATCAAGGCGGATTTTTTTCTTCAAAACTGATCTTGCCTTCCAAGTCAACCCAACCTTAAATGGCTTTTTCCTAATGTCCTGGGGAGTACAGCCCTAGCACCACATGTCTGATGCACTAAATGCATGTAAAGGGTCCTGTACTTTTTACTTACTTGACTGTTTCAGCAGCCGCTGTCTCATATTCAAGTGATATCTAGGATATCTTCTTCTGCCTTTCTATCCCCCAATGGAGCATAGGCCCTCAAACAACTCACACCGTCGTTCTATCCTCCGCCATTGCATGGAGCTCTCCCCATGTCCTCCCCATCTTTCTAACTTCATTCTCCAGCTCTCTTCTCCATGTGTTTTTTGGCCTTTCTTTATTCCTATGCCCCTGTGGGTTTCAATGCAAAGACATTCTAGTTATGCTGTTCTCCTGTTTTCTCAGTGTGTGTCCTATCCAACGCCAGCGTCTTTTCCTTACCTCTTGGTCCACTGGAGCCTGTTTAGTTCTCTCCCAAAGTTCTACATTAGTTATTCTATCATACCATTTAATTCCCTCTATTCTGTTTCACCAGCCGCTGTCTCATATTCAAGTGATATCTAGGATATCAAGCGTCAATATCCTCCTAATGTATCATAATGTCTGTAAGGAGTCACCAATATTGCAAGAAAAGGTCTCACAAAGGCAAAAATATCCAGCCACTCTCAAAGTGGATAACATTTTAAGGCTCCAGATTCTATTCTGCAGATGTAAAGCTCCAGGTGTGGTCTTGAACACCCTGCTGGTTTCTAAGCTTTAAGACAAAGCTGTGCATGACACAGCCCCAATGAAGCTGGCACTTCGGTGGCAGGTCAGGCAGAAGGTCAACATCATTGAGACAGGTGTCAGATCTCATTAGAGATGTTCTGTTCTCAACAGCCTTTATATAAGTTGTGTGTATTTTTAGTTAATACATAACTGTGTTTCACTTGACACCCTTGTTTCTCAAACCTGCCTATATGGATATGGTACCTGGTACAAGGTAATAAGGAAAGTCGGCTATCCTCCGAATAACGGTCCCAAATTATCGACCTCAGCGCCGCACAGGATACTCTTGGTGGTGGCGGTATTACCGCCGGAAAGAGGTCAACAATTTACATATTACTGAGGCCCTGTTAGGGTATTTTATTAGCCTCGATAATTTGGGACTGTTATTCAATGGATAGTCGGAAAGTCTTTACACTAACCTCAATTTGATAGAAGCAAGTCGTTGCGAGTGATTTTACAAGTAAGTTCAAACTGTGTGTAGGCCTTTTTTTTTTTTATTTATTTATTAACTGCAAAATTTAAATCTGAAAGTTTTATACCAATGATTAAATGTTTCCATGTTTAAAATCTCAAAAACTAATATATTACTACTTTTTTGTTCCAATCAATCTAAATTTGGTGTATTATTTTTTTCAGTCTCCTCTAACATGTTTCTGCTGGAATGAGGGTGGAAGGCCCTCAATAAGCCTCCCCCCCCCCCCCCTAAACCCTCCGGTTCTGGTTCCCCTGCAGCAATACACAATTTACTGATAAGAAATAACAGCTGAATGCTGAATATCCCTACATATGTGCTGCTTTTAGCCAACTGCCATGTGGTAAATTCAACCACTTGATATTTTTTTAACATTTTTTACAACGCACTTTTATACCTACAGAACACAGGAACATAAATCATGTAACTAATAATAATAATGTGGCCTCAGATTTTATATATATATATATATAATTCTTAAATTGCTAATTATTTGTTATCTTGCCTGGATCAACACTCACTGATAACTCTGAATTCTTTCAAATAATTAATAACAGTAATAAACAATCATTTGAATTATTTTACTTGAATGTCAGCTGTATTATAAAAATTACTACTAATAAATCAAATAAATACTTATATTCCATTAACAGAAGGTAAATCATTATGTAATGAAAGATTTGCTTTAAACAATATTACAATAGCATCTTTTTACTAACCCATGCGACCCTAAGTTTTGACTGGGCATTTCTCTTTACCTTCCTGACCTAAAGTGTAGTGCCAGCCATTTGTTTGTAAAATTATTGGGTGACCCCAACTTACCCAAGTATTGTGCCAGCCACTTGTTTTGAAATTATCCTATGACCCCATGTATTGTGCCTGCCATTTGGTTATGAAGTTATCCCGTGACCACTCTACCCCGAGTGTTGTGCCAGCAATTTGTTTATGAAATAATCCTGTGACCCCATGTATTGTGCTTGCCATTTGGTTATGAAGCTATCCCGTGACCCCATATGCCCTATGTGTGGTACTTAACCCCGTGACCCCAAACAAATTACGTAAACACGCTACTGTGTATGATGAAACAATCATCTAGTCGTTTATCCTCATACTATGTCGTTCCCGCCGCATCATCTATGTAACGCACCACCTTACATAACTTTTCATATCCATACAGCTAAAGTAATAGGCAAAAAATACCTAAAAATATAATTTTCTTGACCAATAATTCCCAGAAACGAAAAAAAAATCCGACACAGCCTCTCCCTTGGTCGTGAGGTCAGTCAGTCAGGTCAGCTAGCAGAAGATTCAAGAGAAATATTCCCGCAGTAAAGCCATTAACACTGAGGCAATTACCATAGAACGAATAAACGCCGCCGCCACCATTCACTTCTGTTTTAGTCACCCAGCACAGAGCCACGAAATTATCCACACAAGCTATCTACTTCAGTTAAGTGTCGCCAAACCACTTCCTCCTTTTAATTGTATCCGTCTCGGTGTGTACTGTGCTGTGCTCGCCGATAACAAGCCTAGCATTTATTATGAGCAGGCCTGCCTGCCTGCGAGAACCGCGAACGGGTCACAAGCCTAACGGCGACCTAGCCTACTGCATGCAACGCGCCCTACATTTTTACCGCCATTTCTCATAAACGCTTTGCGCGCAGACGGCGTCGAAAACTTTTTAGCGGATGCGGCCATTCTCATACTTACATAACTTAAATATGCACGTAGATGCTCAAACAGCGGTACCTCCATACACTGGGTCTTGCAGAAGAAGCTGGTGCCTCAGAAAATAAAATAAAAAATCAATGAAGCCAGGCGCACAAGTTGGTTTGTAGCTTTCATTTAGCACGTCCTCTCCGGTCGGCAGCCGACAAGAGAATACTCCAGTTGGGTCGGTCACCACACAAGACCAAGGCCGTCCCTGCGATAAAAATAGAACTCGGCTGTGTGTGAAGTAAACGAAACGAAACTGAGAAATGTCTCTGTATCTGCTGTTTTATTTCAACGTGTTTCCCTTTAAAACACAAAAGGGGAGGGGTGATATGTTGTCTTGTGGTTCACAGCAAGGCTGCGATGTCTGTGCTTGACGGCCCAACATATTTGAGTTTAGCAAACCTATAATTAGTCGTTTTTACAGCATGTTAGGCGGGCAGGTGTACGTTGTCTGTGCACTTGCGCCTGTGTAGTAGGTGGGGCTGCAAGAAAAGGCGACTTGACTGTTATACATGCTTTAAAAAAAACCGTAATGTGTCGATACTTGATGAGTGTATGTTGGGGGCGTGATGTGCTTCTATTTGCTATACTTCTTAACGGAAAAACTGACTGAAACAAAAATAACGTCTGCGCAAGCCCTTAGAGAGGCGGCTGGTACGTGTTATTTTGGTTTACAGCAAGGCTACGATATCTGCGCCTTTCGGCCAAACACATGTGATTTCAGCATGTCCATAATTAGTCGCTACATATTTGATATCGAATCAGTTGTGTGCGTCTATCTAGAGGGTCGGGTGGAAGATAAAAAAAACAGTATGACTTGATATCTTTTTCTTAAAGTCTATGTCGTGTGGCGTTAGTAGTCATGTCTACCACAATCTTCTGTGTACTATCAAGCAACTCTGACACAAATGATCCTTCATGCCTTGATGTGGACAAACTGGCCAGCATCTGTTCTCTCAGTCTTCCTCTGCCTCTCCTCCCCTCCAACTCTCCTACTGTCACGATGCACTGTAGTTGTATCCTACTTTTGATATACAAGATGGTTATAATAATATGACTATAGTTGATGAGTACATTTGGAGACGTAACATACTGTACATTTTTTTTTTCTTTAAAAAAAATGATTGAAAAAAAATTAACAGATTCTGCCGCTTGTAACTGTTTGTCTTACAGAGGAGGACATTACCGTTTTAGAAATTGTCCGATGCGTGAAGCTGAACGCCACTATAAGCGCGGACTGAGCGATTAACATCCGGTGACTT